AAACAATATGACACTTTATTTTTAACTTTTGGCCCGATAATACATGGAGGATGTCTGAAACAATATGACACTTTATTTTTAACTTTTGGCCCGATAATACATGGAGGATGTCTGAAACAATATGACACTTTATTTTCAATTTTCTAGTTGGTAAGAACAATCTTGTTTTTTTTTTTTCTGAATTATTTCCTCTCCAACTTTTAAGCTTGGCAAGATATATATTCCCCATTATCTTGAATAAACTCTTTACCTTTTCAAAGCATTTTTTGATAATGAAAAGAACTGTCAGATTGTAAACTTATTCGGGTTAAAAGTTGAACTCTAATTACAAGCACACAAGTTTGTTTGTTTTGTTCAGTTCTTCTCAGAAATTACACTGATTCCAACTAGTTTGAGGTCGGTCTGCAATTTTGGAAGCCAAGAAATTTTTACACTCGGGTGGCTGGCTTAAATGGCAACCATAGAGGACGAGCATGTTCGGCAACAGGGATTTGAGCTCATAACCCTCGGACTGCGAGTCGAGCGCCCTAACCACCAGGCCATGCCACGGCCCTAATAGATAGTTGTAGATTTTATCCACGCATACACTTTTATGTAATAAAATAATTCAGTTATAAAAACTTAGTAGACAATTGGTCTTTTGATGTAATTTAACAATGAAGAATACGCCCATAATAAAATAATTCAGTTATAAAAACTTAGTAGACAATTGGTCTTTTGATGTAATTTAACAATGAAGAATACGCCCATAATAAAATAATTCAGTTATAAAAACTTAGTAGACAATTGGTCTTTTGATGTAATTTAACAATGAAGAATACGTCCAACCTTCTTCATTTGAGAAATACCTCTCAAACATCATTGTTACCAAGTCATAAACAAATTTGTTTCAACAAAGAATTTCTCAGCAAATGATTGGTGTTCACATTTAAAGAAACAAAAAATATTGTGTAACATCCTTTATCAAGAACATTATATATACGATCAGCTTATAAAACAAACATTTTAACTGACTTTTGACATCATAATCACTAACCTGTACAGACTTAATCAATGCTAGATCAGTTTAGGTTAGAAACAATGCACTATGAATGAATTTACAAAATATGAACAGCACAGGTTTTATTACAGAATGAACTATTTTCTCAAAAATCAGTTTTACACAAATTTAAAAAAAAAAATGCTGTCTAAGGTTTAAAACAGACCTGTTTCCTCTCTCTTTTTTCCTTCTTTTTTTTCTCTTTCTTCTCTCTCCTGGATAACTTTCTGATAAAGCTGTTATTTGAATTGTTTTCACTCATGTCCATATCTGTATATGGTAGCTATGATAGATATTAATAAAAATTCATATTTGGAAGAATGAACTTTTCATAAACCTTTTAATAAAAAAAAAAAAAGATGGTTTCTGTGGCAATTATTTTTCATTCAAACCATGGTAAAGATGAATATCCATGAAAAATTACCAGTAGCCATCATAAATTTGATGGTGTTCATTTTGAGAAAGAAAAACATTAGATACAGAGTAGTTTTTGTTACAAAAACAACATCTACTTTACATAACAGTGGAAGGAATCAAGCTGTTTCTGATCCATTTCACAATTAGTAGTAAAAATAATAGTCTGAAGTAGTTAAAAAATTAATTTTGTTCTTAGATAATTACAGTTAATACATTTCTAAAAATCCAACCTAACAAATATGACAACTACGTACATGAAGTTCCAACAAATTCTTGTTCAGTAACACACTTTATTCAGACGTCTTTCCACTTTGATAAACTTTTTATATAAATTTGCAAGTTCACAAACATAAGTTTTAAAAGAATGCACTTACCTTGAGTTACAAGTTCATGGGGAGTTTTTATTGGAAAATTTTAAAAAATTTTGCGGGTCATAACAATACATTATTTACCCAAAATATAGGGAGAAAGAAAAACAAAGTAAATATATATTAAACTATTTAAATGAAATTACATGAATATACAAGTAAAACATGTATTAATCTTACATAAGTTTCTTCATCCATTCTGCGAAGAAGAAAGCGTCCTTCTCTGTCATCCTTGTGCCACTTAAGCTGAACTAGCAATGGCTGTTCCTCATCATTTAACTTCCTCTCCTCTTCCAAATCAAAATATTTTATTAGCCTTTAAACCCATATGCTAGTATTTTCTTTTAATGAGAATGGACAAAGACAAAAAGTGAAAATCTACAAAACTAGAGATATTTATAACAATATATCAATTAACTTACTAAGTAAATAGCAAAAAAAAAAAATCAAGATGGTTGTCTCTACTGGAAATAAGTAAATAAACACTTTAATCCTCAAATTACAAACCTGTTTTTATACTTCTAATCACCAGTGGAGTTCACGTATTGCACCATACCAAGTAATACGTTCTACGGCTTCACGAAGTAATCACTACCACAACCTTCGTTATTACACCATTCAAATTACACTCATGAACTGAATATAGCTGATGGTTAGCCATTTCAAGTAAAGCAACCTTGCAAGTGAAAGATAGTGAAAACACTTCCGTCTGTTCCACCTCACAGAACACTAATACAAAGCACATATTTAGATATGTAGACAAACGACAACATATTAAAATATTCAATTATTTCAAAGAAAACAGGAATTTTATGAACTTAACCCTTACGTTCTTTCTTTGTTTCTGAAAACTAATTAAAATTTAAAAGCAAAGCGTGAAGTAATAGCAGATGTTACTAAAGCATTATTGTAACAGATTGTGTAATAATGAATCAGAATATCATGTCATAAACCAGTGATGTAACAGGGTAATACCAATCTATCTTCAGTGTTTAAATAAAGTGATGCTGGTACATCTTGAACCGGTATAATATGATGTTCTAACACAGTGATGCTGGTACATCTTCAACTGGTATAAAATGATGTTCTAACACGGTGATGCTGGTACATCTTGAACTGGTATAATA